AAACACAAACACATACACACCCACACCAAAAAAAAAACCCCCAGCTTGAAAGTAGAACCAAATTACAAGATAGCAATATGATCCCATCACTGAATTTGTTCAAGTAAAGGCTGGGCTGCCACCTGTCACAGAAGCTTTGATTTGCACTTCTGCATATCTGTGGCTATTGTACTTGAATAGTCTAAATCACTGCTTCCCAAACATTTTCTTTCATTACCTAAACCACCTATTAGAAAGTCATATTGAACTTCAAATACTGGTCATAAATCCCCTTCTTCAGCACTGTATCACCTCAAATGATCATAATTCAAAGACTACCTGTATTATAAGAATATCATTGATCTTCATGTCATTTCAATAAATTACCATTGATAATTTCATTGATTTTTGTCTTAGTAAGAATACTGTAATGGAATGTGTGGATGACCTTAGGGGATGAGGGAAAGGGATTCTGCCTAAGGAATGATCAGATAAGAGAGAGAAGAGTTCCCAATGGCTTCACAATCAGAGAAAGAAATTTAGGAAGTGACCAGACAGTTAAAAGTGGTGTCAGAACAACTAGGGCCCAACAAATCTCTTGATTTCAATTTAGGTTCTCTTTCAAAAAAAAAAAGTTAATAAATTAGCATGTCAACTAACTAACAATCGTATCAACTACCAAATGTAAATATCACTTCTCTTCTAAAAAGAAGATTCCTGTGGTGACAACCATAAATAATTTTGGGAATCAACCTTGCTTTTTTATACCTATTCCAAATCCTCAATATCGCATATCTAATACAGTGATAAAATCCTGTTTCACAAAGTCATACATAATACATACAATACATACATACATACATATATACATACATAAATACACGTGTTTGCCCAAAAACGAGACCGGGTCTTATTTTCTTTTGGGGATGTCTTATTTTTTTTCCCATGTCCCCTTGCTCACAGCAGAGCAGGAGTCTACGCAGCATTCGAGTGCCACCACCGCGAGGTGGGGGATGGAGCTGCCCCACGCGCCCCGCACTGGCTTATTTCAGGGTCCTGCTGCCAGGCCACCCACGCCCTGATGTGTGCCTCGCCTCACGGCAGCGGCTCAAGCACCCCCATCCATCAGGCCCGCCTGGCTCCTGGACCACTTCTGCTTGCTTGCAGCCACAATGGAGCAGGAGAACAAGCAATGCACCAATGCTACAGCCACAAAGGGAGGTGGGGATGGGTGGAGCTGCCCCACGTGTCCTGCACCAGCTTACTTCAGGGACTTCACAGACAGGCCATTCATGCCCCAACACCTGTCTCACCTTGTTACCACAGCATCATCACAACACTTAGCCTCCTGCTACATTGTGGCCATGAGCAACCAGAAGAAGTGGGCCAGTGGCTACATGGGTTCCTGCTGCACATCACTGCTATTGCTGCCGCCATGAGGGAATGTCAGGGCGTGGATTGCCTGGCTGTTGGACCCTTGAGGTAAGCTGGTGCGGGGTGCATGGGGTGCACCCCACCTCGCCTTGTGGCCACAGCACCCAGAGCAACCAGATGGAATTGGCAGCCAGCTGGCTGTGCAGGCTCTTAAGCAGGGCTTATTTTGGGGGGTAGGGCTTAGATGCATGTGTAAAAACATGCTATGTCTTATTTTCAGGGAAACAGGGTATACACACATATACATACACACACACATGTACACACACACACAGACAATGAATGGAGGGGTTAGAGAAAAGAAAGGTTAAAAGCAAAAGTTAAAGGTCAGACTCAGGAGTGCAAAGGGAAAGAAAAAGAAGGAAAAGGAGGGAGAATAACTTCAGTTTTCTTTAGTACAGATACAAATATAAAATACATTAACCTCTTGCTCTAAAATCAACCATAATAACCATAACCATTCGTGTAAGAGCATTATAGTATATGAAACAATTCTGCTGTTAGGAACACCAAGAAAAATAAGCTTGGACTATACTCTTAAAATTAACTGGACATCTGATTAATTTTCTTTCTTAAAGGTTTCCATAAAGAGTTTGAAGCATATCAATAAATCAAAGAACAGCCTAAACTGCATCTAATTACATTTTAAGAAATTAGAACACTATTTGCCTAGCAGATAAATAATTAAGGGGCTATTTTATAAATGCATTTCCATTTGTTAAAACTTAAAAGAACAAGCCTGTACTAATTAATTATAACTTAAAATATTATTTCTTAACACTTTGTAAAACTGCATTATAAATCATTGGAAAAATAGATTTCACTGCAAGAGCATAGTTTGATTTTATTATTCTATCTATTTTTTAACATTTTCTACAAGTATTTAATTTTTAATCAGCAGCCACATTTCCAACAAATTCTATTTTTTACTATGGTTCTTAAGCAAGATAAATAAGGTCAAGCAAATCACAACACTGTTCAAATAGAATTATTTCAAATCATGCTTTCAGAAGTTAATAATTGTGAAGTATTCATCATAGTTTTAAATTCTGTTCTGTTCTGTTCTGTTCCATTCCATTCCATTCCATTCCATTCTAAAAAGTGAATGAAAGTAAATAGAAGTGAAGGATTGTAACATAACAAATACTTTAATTGAATAGCATTAAGGCTTAAATCACACTGCTCAGAAAGAATTCTCAATGTATTCATAATGAGTTTACAGCCAGATAAACATATAGTGTAATCCTTTCGTCTAGGCTGTCTAGGAGGACATAGATTATGGCAAACATTCTCTTCACTGGCAGCGAATTTGCTATGGGAAAAATTAATTTAAATTTTGAATGAGTCCCTCAACTTTTTCAGCCTAGAACTGTACATCTGTTGGATACAAAAGCTTATCATTTGTCTATGACACCAGAGAAATTATTTAGAATGAATGAAGATCCTTAAATATATGTTGGAAATGTGAACATGTTTTACATGTGCATTCTTGGTGGACATGTAAAAAAGCTAAAAGTGTTCAATTCAAATATACAGTTTGATACAGATGATTTTAAAGATCAATAATCAATTGAAGCCAGAAATTTTCCTACTAGGATAATTTTTAGTGGTAGGCTGATGGACATGCATGTTTACAGAGATTTAAAGAGATTTTCATGAGAAGCTAGCTCAGAATGGGCTATTTTTTTGTGCCCTGCTCCCTTTGTTCCTAGAATTCAATACCCTTCACCAAGTTTTAAACTTCATGAGTCATTGCTCTATCCCTGACTGCCTAACTGGTTCTGGGACAAATGGTAGTCATAGCAACTCAGGCACAGTAGTGAATTCACTGAATTCAGGAGCAGTAAAGGCAAACGGAAGTGGTATCAGAATGGCAGCTTCTACAACATGACTTGGACAGAGCTACAGAGCACAAAGGTTGAAAGTGTTGGCTTATGGGATCCTTCCAATGGACTGTTCATTGGTGGGTCCAATTCTCTTGGATGGACCTAGTATGAGTCTTCAGCTTGACAGCAGACATTAGTCATAATAATGTATCATTATTGCTGCATGAGCTACATTGGCTACCAATTGACTTTTGAATGAAGTTCAAAGTTCTGGTCATCACCTATAAAACTCTTCATGTTATACAGTCGGGTTATGTGTGGGGCCACTTGTTTCAAATTTTTCTATCTGCCCATTATATTCAGGCAGTTACTCTACTGTACCTGCAGTAAGTAAGATGTTTTCTATTAATAAAGGAGAATATTTGTTATTCAGGATTGAGATGAGGGGTTCTTTGTGCTCTCTAAGCTTGGTTGTTTTCTTGCAGACATTTCATTACCCAAAGTAGTCATCATCAATGCTAGTCCTTTTGTATACTCACTAAAATAAGCATAGTGCAATCCTGATTTCTTTTAGGAAGACTTTGTCAGCTAAGAATATATTTGTGTATTGTTATGGGCAGCGAAAAATGATTTGATACGCTGCAAGCTTGAAACTCTGATCAAGATTCTTGACAAATCAGATTTGACACAGATACTGTGGTTGCCAGTTGATCTCTAGGCCTACCTCAAAGTATTTATTTTAAAACTTTATATAATTTAGGACAAATTATTGCAAGACCATCTATTTATGTATAATTCATCTCACACTTTTTGGTCCTCAAAAAAGTCAAATTCTGAAGGTTCTGATACAAATTTGCTTAACATCAAAACATTTGTGCCTATTCTATGGAAAAAAATATTACTGAAGGTTTGAACCTTATAATAGTTCAACATGGGCCTTAAATCTTTTTATTTTGGGCATTCTTCAAGTTTTAGAGTCTTAATATTTTTGGCATTGAGTTTTAATGTTCCTTTAGAATTTTTAATGGCTTTAGCATTGTAAATGTTTATCTTCATTCTTGTAAGCCATTCTGAACTGTTGCAACAATCAGAAATTAACATAGAAACATACCTTCATTATAGAGATTGGTTAATAGTAAATTAATAGCTATTCCTTTCCATCATAAGAAAAATTGAAAAATGAGTAGTCATAATTATTCTGATACATTAGCAGAAACAGATCATGTTCTTCCTACCCTCTGTGGGAAGAGAAAATGATAATAGGTAAGTTTTGTCAGGTTAGCCTGCTTCATCTTCTCAACTACTTTAGACATTTCATGATGAGGACATTCAGTTGTGGTCATCTTGTATTTAATATATTTTATGTAAAAAGTACTGTAAATCTGCCTTTTCATAGGCCAATCCAAATCATCTCATAGTTCATATCTCCTTTCTATTCTGTCAAGGCTGCTAGCAGTTTCACAAAAAGTACAAAATTGAGTATTAAATTTTCACTTATGCAGACAATAGTTTGAGGAGAGATTTACTCAGGATATTCCCACCCTAGAAATCACATGTCATACTTTCCCTCTATACTATTCTGTATTTATTCTTTTCCTTTTTAAAAACACTATACTTGAGAGATGGCACTCCAGCATAATATATAGATTGTCTTGATCTTCAGGAAAACTGTCAGTGATACAGAACTATAACTTGTGTGTTATGTCTCATGAATATATTACAAATACAATATTATTATGATTTTTATATGTTCTTTTGAAGAATACCACCAAATGTAAGAGACATCGTCTACTGCACAGGAGTTTCGCTGATGGATGAAGATGTATGGGAATTCATCTGGATGAAATTCCACTCAACTACAGCGGTATCAGAGAAGAAAATATTATTAGAAGCTTTAACCTGTAGTGATGACAGAAATTTGTTAAACAGGTATGCTCATTTAATCTATATTTCCTGATTTTTTCAAACTCAGTCTTGTATCAGTAGAAGTAATAGCATTTGTGGTCTTAATATTGTCCCAAATATTAAATGTTCCTAGCTTATGTATGTCATTTTTAAAATTTTTATACTTACTCATTTTCTCCTGAAAATCAGATCTACAAAAAATGTCTGTGGAGATTCTCAGTCATCCAGATCATGCTTATCCCAAAGGTGCTTTTTCAGGAGGCAACTGGACTTTCTTGTTTTTCTTTGAAGACCTTTCGCTTCTCATCCAAGAAGCTTCTTCAGCTCTGACTGGATGGTGGGGAATGAAAGGATTTATATTCCTTGCAGACAGCTGAAATATAAATCCTTCCATTCCCCACCATTTTAATTTAATTTTCCCCACCAGTTTTTAATACTGTATATGCTTAGCATTTATTCCAATTCATTTGTTCTATATTAACTTGATTATTTTAGAAAAATATAACCTCAGAGTAGCATTCATGAAGCCTATAATAAATTAATTTTAATTTTTAGCAAATATCTGCCAAGTATAGATGTAACTTATTTTCTATATTTTACAAACATATATTGAAAGTGCCACATTGATTTTCAATTAGCATCTAGCAATGTCTGACTTTGTTGGAGATCCCAAGATGTTGAATGGCATAATGCTGAAATATTTATATTAGTAAAAGCTAAACAATTTTCCTCCTTTCTCCTATTATTCAAGGCTTCTTAACCTGTCTCTTAATTCAGAAGTTGTCCTGGATCAGGATGCAATTGATGTCATAATCCATGTAGCTAGAAATCCACATGGAAGAGATCTTGCTTGGAAATTTTTTAGAGAAAAGTGGAAAATACTGAATGCAAGGTAAAATATTTTGATAAACTGTATGCTTCATGTTCAATATATTTAAATTTAAAATACCAATAATTTAAGGGTGTACATGGTTAAATAGCCATAAAAAGTGAGAAAAGACTGTGTGTGTATTTCAAGAGTCACTTGAAATACACTTCTTTGTGTATTTCACAAAGAAACAAACTTCTTTGTTGCTGTAAATGTTTAGATAAAACACCATGTAACTATCTTTAATAATGGTCTTGATCTAACTTCCTGCAGTTTTACTCATGTATGGGATGGCTAATTTCACCCTGCCCAAAATCTACTTTTCCTTATTTTTTCTGAGGCAATACATAGAATTGAATTTTAATTTGAAGAAAAATATGACTATTTTTATTCCACTAATACAGCTTCAGTGCAATATGGTTGACACTGATCATAGACCATAGGACGTAATATTTCCAGAGATTATGGAACAGAAACTGTAACTGATTGTACAATTGTAACAGTAATATTATTTATAATATATGATTTCAAAATCATTGTCACTCAAATGTTCTTTATTTATATTTTAAACTATGTGATGAAGATACGGAGAAGCATTATTTATGAATTCAAAACTGATAAGTGGAGTCACAGAATTTCTTAATTCAGAGAGTGAACTGAATGAGGTAAATATTATGCTAGTTCAGTACTTTTTTTTTTTTACAATTTTTTTTTTTACTCTTTTTCACTTTCTTCATTGTGTGCTACCTATAAAAAACCCAGGCTTACTCATTTTCCAGATATCATGTATGTGTTTCAGTTTCTATAAATGATGTATTATCTGAATGCTGCATTCACATTTAAGGAAAAGACAGTCTTTTTTATATTGAGAAAGAGAGAGAAAGTGACAATCAAATTTCATGACATTTTAACTAAGTTCAATGTAAACCTACTATTCATAGAATAATGTGAATTTAAAATATTAAATCCAAGAACAGTAGGGTCTTTATAGTGTTTGAACAGCCCCTCCAATGTGTAAATGGACTCTTAATTATTTTATGATAAAATGTTTAAAAAGTTCATCAATCTAATTAACCCTAATTTAATATATTTACCATATTTAATAAAGAAAAACTCTTCAGGGAGAATGTAAATGTAGCTTAATGTGAACTAAAATTACATTAGATGTGTTCCTAATTTTTATATGGTTAGATACATATGTAAGACTAAACTGTGATAAGAGCCTAGCAGTCTACACCATAAAGCAGAGTTCTGCAACCTTTCTGGCTTTGCGGACTGGTGGTGGGGAAAGGATGGTTCCGCATGAGTGGCGGGCAAGCAGCTCCATTTGCATGAGCGGCAGGCATGCTCAACTGCCGCTTGTGCAAATGGAACATGCACACAGTCTCCTGCAGCTTGCACAAGTGGGTATATACTCATGTGCATGCACCCAACACTTCCACAGCCTGGTTCCAAAAGGCTCAAGGCCCGGTAGTGGGCTGCGGTCTGGGGGCTAGGGACCCCTGCCATAAAGCATCCGCATTACAAGGGAGATAGAGGAAGTGATGTTAATATAATCAGGCATTGGGACATTAGTATTTTGCAACACCATTTCAGGCAGTTGCAGTTTGTTGCTTTATTATACTTTCAAGCTGCAAAATATTGCAAGAATTTCAGTAGCAAACATAGAGCTTTTGTCCTTAGTTTGTAAATTACATGAAGTTCATTTTTTTGTTTAGTTCTGTCATAATTAACCATTACCTTCTATTTTCAGCTAAAGAAATTTGTAAAGAATTATGGGGAGAGATCTGCTGCCTCTTTCTCTCGAGCTGTGGAAACAGTGGAAGCGAATGTCCGGTGGCAGATAATTTACAAAGAAGAATTATTTCAGTGGCTGAGAAAAACACTTGCACACTAATCTGTGTTTCTGGCAAAGACCTAGTACAAGTTTTGCAAGATGAGAAGCACAGTGGGAACTTTCAGAAAACTGTCTAGAAACCCAGCAAAGACAAGTTCAAGTTGGAAGGACAATTAAATAGAGATATATTATATTTTTGCACCGAATTCCTCAGAACTGTTAAATGATTAGGGGCACACTGACAAAGAGGAATGGTCATGAATCCCATCCCTACTATTCCATGGCCAAGTGTGATATTAAGTGGTGCATGTAAATGTTAATGTCAGTTTTGTTGGAGAAAACCCCTGAGAATATTTGTGCATGGTTTTATGGTTCCTGCCTGTATTTCAGCATGCTTACTTCAGATGTCCATGTTTTGTATGTGAATTTCTGTTGCATCAAAGATGGGCATTATGCAAAAGCACAAAGACTCTTATGACAATCAGTGATGAAACAACAAGGTAGGATGGAAAGAAAGACGTTAAAGGTACAAATGAACAAGTGATAACATCTCCCCTTTCCATGGTGCTGGCCAGTTTTACTTTTAAATTCTCTTTAAGTTACTCTTTCAATGCTAATTTTTTTTTGAGTTGTAAACAGTAATATAAATTACAATCCAAAGATTCCTCTTTTTAAATCAAGAATACGTATGTATTTAGAGGCAGAATATTTTCGCAGTAAGTTATAGTTTTAAAAAATACATTTATCCATTACTCATCGTACATTGATAGATTTACCTTCATAAGCTAGTTTACAACAGCTAGTTTGCATATTTGGTGGGGTGGGGGGAGAGTAAAAAAAATGTCTTTTGCATCATGTCTTTTCAGCAAAAGTATTCAGTAGATATTATATTGTTCTTTGATAGTTGCATATATGATAGAAAAATAAAATGAGAGAAAGAACAGAACAAAACCAGGGAAACTGGAAAACTATGTGAACTAAAAGAACTTCCTAGGTAATGTTTAAATTGTAAGAAACCCCCATTCCCCCTACCATCCTTGTCACTATGAGTATCTTGTTTCTTCATAGATAGCCTATTAAAATCCAATGAAATGGATGACATTTGAGCAATTGTTAAGGCTCAAATTTGAAAAATAATCCTTTGCGTCTATTTCACTATTTTTTAAAATTTAGCTAAGGCATTTTCTAATGCAATTCAAAGGCATCGATACGATTATTAAAAGTTGTCCCCATTTAATATAATGGCCTTATTGAGAATAGCATGCACTCCATCAGGGTTTTTTCCCTTATTTAGAATTTCTATAAAGATTTACCAAATAATAATCTAGCTGGAATGCAGCAGTTCTTATAATATATCATATTCTTCATCACAGGGAAGCAATATTCTTCAATATCTTTTAGTGGAAGAAAATAAGAAATTAATGACTATACCCTACAACTTAGAAGGTTTTTTCTGCTTTTTATTATTTTTAGTTGTTTATGATCTTTGTGCTCCAATTCTAACATGGAATTTTTAAAAAATCCACTCATAATGAAAATAGGTAGTTATTTTATCTTGCAATTCATGTGGAAAAACAGTATGACTCACGTAATAATATCACAATAAGGTAAACTGCAGTTTTTCATTATATACACACACACACACACACACACACACACACACTATATGTGGGAGTTTGCTATAAACCCGGTAAATGAAATAATTGCATTCTTTATTGGATAGTGCCTAGTGGCAGTGTGGGGGGGGAATCACATTTAAAGAATTGTCTATGAAAAATTGCCTATAGTGAATATAGATTATTTTGTTATGTTAAATCTGTAAGTTGTAGTTCTGCAACATCTCACTTTGCTTTAGTTTATCAACAAGTAAATATTAAGTTAAATATATAAGCTTTTAATTTACCTTTTTCTTCATTCTCCAGCAGCTCTTTAGGGCTTTATGCAAGCAAGAATTAAAATAGATATTTCATTTTTGCTGTTTTATGATGCTAAGGAGCTGCTCTTATGTACACTAAAACCATACAAGTTTTCATCTTGTCAGAAGATATTAGGAGCAAGTTCCTGAGAGTGAAAACAGTTAAGCAATGGAACAATCTATCTTTAAAAATTGTGGTCGCCCAGCCTCCTATTAAGGATGATTAGTAGATTTCTGAAATTAGGGAGGATTGGACTAGAAGACTTGTCAGTTTCTATCCAATTTACATATTCTGTGATGAGAAGAATCAAAGAATCTAACACATAGCAGGTTGTTCAGATTAATTTCAAAGATTATTTAAGAAGATTTGTGTCAATTTCACAAAAAGGTGTTCTTATAATATCTTCATTCTAAAATCCAAGAAGAGAAACCACAAAAATACAAGTGGAAAAGGAGAAAACTTTTTTTTCTTTTTGAAGGAAAATAAATGGTATAGGGCCAGTGTAGGGTAAAGAAGAGTTTATTGTAGAGGACAACGTTTTATAGCGTGAAAGCTATTTAATGATGCCTCCTTAGATTAGTTAATGCAAATTACAGACCACCATGCTTTTTGGACACTTCATTATGGAAGAATGTTTTGATATCCTTTACAGTAAATCTAGGCCAAATTTAAAGCATTGCTTTGCAGATGCATTTGTTAATTTCTTGCTATTAGAAAGAATCAGTGATTATGAAAAAATATATTATCAAATGTTAGGTGCACAATAGTCAAATTTAAATTCTTAAAATATTCTGAGTTTTTACAATTCTTGCTAGTTGGGCTGGGGTAAGGCGGCATGTTGTTTTAATTTTCCCATTGTGAAAGTTAGCTATCACAAGTTTCTGACTTTTCCAATGAGAATGAAAAAATGTTAGAAGCATTTATTTAGATTCCTGTGTATGATTTACTGCTTACTTTTATTCTATTTTAAGTATTTCATTGTTCTTATTTGTAGAAATTAAACATTTTTCATTTATAATACTATTAATTTAATATTTAAATCTATACCTGGAACATAACTCTAAACCGCTGTTTTCCTAAATGCACAAAAAGTAAAAAATAAAAAAGGTAGTGGCATTTCAAAAATCAGGAAAAAATGAAATCATCAAATAAGAACAAACCTGAACTTGAATTTTATTTTATTTATTAATTGATAATTAATTGAGGTGTACCCTAATTGAGATTACCCTAAATATTCTCTATGGGCTATTTAACAATCAGGCATTCCACTGTATGTTTCCTTAAAGTTTTATGTTGGTATTTCTTGTCAGTTTTCTTAATACTTTAATGGATATAGAATACCCTTATCCAAATGTTCCTAAATTAAACTATGCAGTAACTATTTTTGTACTATTCGTTGCCATGGAATAGAAGTAAAGCACAGTTTAAAACATGCAAGTCTTCATTTATGTTGGATTGCTGTAGTGCATTTCCCCCCAACTTGGTGCCTTCCAAATTAGTTGGACTTCAACATGCTATGGATTGTTAAGGTTGAAATACAAACCCTCTAGAGGACGTTCAACTGGGAAAGCCTAGTAGATTGCTTGAATTGTAGGTCTATAAAATGATAACATTGCTGTTCCTGTATTTCTGAGAACATGCATATTTGCGAGTATGATTTGATTTCTTTCTTACATGGTCTCAGAGGTCTCCTTCAGAGAACCAGGGAGCTGGCAAGCCTTCATGTCTTGCTTTACAGTGCCTATTCTCCACCTTGTTACACATTCTCAGTGTATAATGGTTTTATTGTATTTGTAAATCATAGCATGTGTGGTGCTCTACTGCTCTCTAGTATGCTTTTTGATATTTTGCTAATTCAGATCACCAATGAGCATATCATCTGCCTACCATTTTAATATGTCTTAAGTTTCAATATTTCACTTACATGTTGGTGAAGTCAGGAGATACAGTACTTTAAAAATTATGCTGCACTCAATAAAGGATTTCAGACATAATAGAATGCAGTGTTGGATAGTAATAAGAGCAATTTGTTTTCTCTTCATACATTAAACTGGAAATACTGTTGTGTCATTATGCCATCTTTTCATCTTACGTTATACGTTCAACTAGTGATAGCCATTTCATTTGAAAATATATTTTATTTGTATGCTTGCTTTTCTATATTTCTTGCCTTCACTGTGGGTGGAAAATGTTTGGCTTCTCTCTCTATAATCAGAAGAAATACCTCGACTGAGTACCAGTTCAAATTAAAACACCACTAAATTCTGTTTGAGACAATGTTTATATTTCAAAATACGATAAAAGGATTCATATTTTTATGAAGCTTGACCTGATTTCTCTCATATGATATTGCAATTAAGATAGCTGATTTATACTTGTTATATTTAGAAATTCCTTATTTTAAATCTGTTTTCCATCACAACTTTACTTAGATGGCCCTTGTTAAGCCATCAACTAACCTATCTTTACCACATTCAAAAAACTGAAAAAAGTATATAAAATTATGCAGATACTGAAGCAGAGCAGATATATACATATTCAGAAAGAGAGAGAGATGCAAATACTGTTTTTCATTATAATCCATCATAATAGAATCTGCAAAAAAACCTCATATTCCGGCCAATGTTGAAAAAAAGCATAGAATTATGATTTGCTAACTTGTCAATATCAACTTGATGTGACCATTAAGGTAGATCTTCTCCAGGGTGATCTATCCCCAGCCTAGGACTTCAGACCTCTCAACTGCATTCATTGCTGTTATAATCAAGTATATATTGATTATCCTCTTGTGATTGTCCTCTTTCCTTCCATCTTTCTCATCATTTTGGGCCCTCATGGAGCTGGGTTTTTGTTATAAAATATGTTAATTTAAGCCTGGTTATTGGGGCCTCAAGTGGAAATTTTTGATTTGTTTTTTAATGTTTGTTTTCTTGGTTGTCAGTGGTATTTTAAAGTGTTTACTCCAACAACAAAGTTCAAAAGTATCAATACTCTTTCCATCCTGGTTGTTCAAAATCCAAATTTCACTTTCATTAGATATCACAGGAAAAATAATTGCCAATATATATTATAGTTGATCAATAAGGAAAATATCCACCACTTCAGTGTTTTTATTGTTGACTTTAATGTTGGTTGCTGTATTTTTCTTCTTTTCATCACAGTTACATTTTTTACTGTACTTCTTGATTTTTATTACTAGAGCTTACATTTTCATTTTCACATTCAACTATCAGAGTACTTGGTGCTTGATGTTTTTCCTCCAGTTTTAAATCACACTGATATTCTTCCAATCTAGCTTTCCTCAGTATATATTAGCATATATTTTGAATAAATGAATGAGTGCATAGGCTTGTTTCACCCTTTGCCAACTTGCAACTGTTAAACTTTATTGTGGGGTTTTTTTTCTTTGTATATGTTTTGCATAATAACAATTTGTTCTGGGATTATCGTTTTCATAAGGCTATTCCACTGCTTGACATAATGTATATAATCAATGATACTCATAGTGATATAATTTTGCTATTCTTTTATCTTCCTGAGTTATCCACCATGCTTTAACAATAATATCTCTTCTTGACCTTTTCTAAAACCACCTTGTATATCTAGGAAATGATTTCTTGGGTACTTTGGATGTTAACGTTCTCACATCTGATTGGATCATTGACTGCATTGGATCCAAGTAATGTCTTTGCTATTTCCTTCCTAATTACAAAAGGAATGCTATTCTTTCTGTTTTTCACATCCTAGTTATAAAGAGCTTAATCTTCTAACTGAAAGTATACAATTCCAGTCCATTTCATTTTACTGATATGTAAAGTATATCAGTGAATCATTAAAATTTCTCTTTTTACTGTGTTGAGCCATGTTCATGATTCTTAGATTCCATGTTCCCACTATAATTTTGTCTTTGCAGTTTCAAATGTTCTTTTTCTGCATGGCAGCATCAACTACTAGATATCTGGAATGCTTTATAATCTAGTTGCATGATAAATACGATTGCTATTCTAAAAGGTATGAAATAATATCTTTCTCCATTCACATTCACCTGCAGCCTCTTCCTATGCCAGCACTGTCCGATACAGAGGCTTACTTGCTTTATTTGGGCAGCTGGGATGACCTTCATGCCCTGGGTGACTCTGCTAGGATTACATACTCTTTTGTTGTCCCTTCCAGGAACATAAACAGACACATACAAGCACAGGCCATGATGAGGCAGAACTTGGGGAAGAGACAAACTGTCAGCTTTGGAAGCCATATTAGGCCGGAAGCTTCCATGCTGACACTTTCTCATGTGTGGGAAACTAGGATGGAGGATTTAGTAGAGGGGTTGTCTGTAGACGTAATAGCATTCTTCCTGTCAGTCAAGGTCAGGGCGATCCTGCATCTGGAGAAGGAGTGGTCGGAGTGATGTCTCGAGATGGGACGGCGGTTGATTGGAGCATGTGATTGACTGAGGAGTGAGGGGATGGTTTTGGGGGTTTTGATTTACTGAGGGAAAACCCTGACCTCTCAGATTTGGGTTTTCCCAGATGTGCCAGTTTACCTATTCTAGTAAATAGAACTTTGAAAAATGCTTGCTTCAGAGTCTTTACTTGGAGTTGAGGATTTTTCTGGAACACTGACATTAATCCGATTCGGCCTAATATGGCTTCCAAAGCTGACACAAACCTTACCGCTGCCACTAATAATCCATTCTTTATGTTCCACATAACAATACTGACTAAATTGCATATGAAATATACTTTTGGTGTATTCTTATGATCAGCAAATATTTGACTGGACAATAGCATTACAGCAATATAGAATCCAAAATTGTGTATATGAGATTTACTTTTTTCTTTTTATATTCTTTTATTCATAATCATACTTATCAACCGCAGTTGGGACCAGCAGTAACTAAGTGACACAATCATAAAGTAAAACATCACATGACCACCAACTTACAACATTAGTTCTGGCTGCAGTTGTTAAGCGTATCACCACCGTCTTTAGACATGATATAATGTGACCATGACTTGCAACTTTTGGGTTGCTTGCCCATTGTTTTTGTTGGAAGCTGGCCTGGAAGATTACAAATAGTAGTCCTATGACCATGGGACACTGCAACCATGGTAAATGCACACTTGTTATCAAGCACATGAATTGCAATCATGTGATTGTGATGATGCCGCAATGGCCACAACTTTGAGAATGAAATGTAATTTTCCTTTTCCAGCACTGTTGTAATTTTGAATGGTTGCTGAATAAATGGTCAGTAAGCAATGGAAGCCAGATAGTGATATGTGCCATATTATTGATAAATCTGATTTTCTGACCTCTACGAGTAAGATTTAGATTGAGATAGTCTACATTGAGTAGTAACATTAAGACATTAATAATAAAATATATTGTATCTAAGAAATATGAAGGCCACAATAAAGAGAAGTGCTTTAGATAAATGGGCTTAATGAAAGAGCTGGTAATTCTGTACATTTGAATTGCTATATATTTTAATGATTTATTATTTTGTTTGTTTTGCATACATTTTTAAAATATATATGGTTTATCTAAGAAGCTTTGTCCAGATGAATACTGATTAGATAACTATGCAATAATGAGAATTTTCCCCAGCACTAAACTTATTAGAAAGTCTTACAATATTAAGAAATGTTGCATGCTCAGAATAGTTCAGATTATACTTATATGGATACTCTAATTCAGAAATTCTGGTGTGTGATTCAGAACTCTGCAAATGGGAGATGCTAAAAATAAGTTTAACAAAGACTCAGTGTATCTAAAGGACTTTTTAGAGCATTTTTATTCCAGTTCCTAGTAAATATATTTTCATCTGAGTTGCTTTATTTAAGCATCACTCATTTCTTCTTCTTTTTAAATTTGTCTTGTAATTCTGGCTAATAAGTCTCTGCAGTGCTTTGCAAACATCTTCATGGCTAATAGGGTTTTGTTGTCAAACAATTATTCAAGGCTTTTGTTGAAGAAACCTCATGTTTAAATCCATCCTTCCTGGGAAAACAATGTTAATTATATTTTGACAAACACTGCAGAAGATAAGCACATACATAGTATAGATATTCTAATGGCAGCGTATATTTAAATGTTGTGCTGATTTAGCATAATTTTAGTTGTTGAATATGATCCACAAGAAATGATCTGTTTTCAGGTCCAAAGGCATATCTGCAAGTTTATTGTTTAATAGTTTAGATTAGGCTTTCTTATTTCTCAAGAGTACATATTTGTTTTTAAATCACTTGATTATGTTCATTTACTTCTTTAGCATTCTTAACTTGGGATAAGAATAAATACATTTGTAGTTAATATTACTGGGAAAAGGTTCAGCAAGCAATTCAAAGCATTGACCAAATAAACTATGAGTTTGTATTACTGTTTACTGCAAATATTTTTCTATGATATGCCTTTAAACCTATTTCATAAATACTGAACCAGTATGTATTTTTATTCCATACTAATCAAGGATTTACTATTTTTTTCCTAAATGAGAAACTACTCTCTGTATTTTAACTAAAATTTGAATTTTGTCTCTAATAATAAAATTTTGTACAGTATACCATTGTCTTAATTTTCTGATATATTGAGACAAATCCATGATAAATAGTACCCCAATTTGATTGTTTCATTTTTATTAAAGTTAATACTGTAATAATTCCAAATGAATTCACCATAAAAAAAAATTTAAAAAACAGAGTGGGGGTACTTCTTTTGGTGTTAGATTTTTCGGTGATAATTATATTTATTTATACAATTTATATTCCAGGGATTTTTTTTAGATGTTCTTAATATTAAGCACCTGCTTAATATTACATTTACCTACTTGACTATACTCACATAAAACGAAAACATTTCCACTTGAAGAAATACTTCCCTAAGTGAAAAAAAAAAAAGTATTGAAGTTCTGTGAGAAATGGGAAAAAAGGCTTCAGGGAACAATATCTTTCCAATGCCAGATCCTTTTTATGGATTGTTCTGTAGTCCTATCTTATTATAAAATCTTTCAAGCTGGAAGCCTAAACATACTTAGTAGAGAATAAGCCCCAGTGAATGCAATGGAGTTGTTTTAAAAAATTTGTATAGGATTACACCTCATGAATAAAAAGCTGATCACATTTAATACTTCTTTTTTTAGAATACTGCATTAATATGCAGTGATCCAAAATCCAAACACCCATGTTGGAAATGGGCTGCTGATCTCAGTGAAACTTATTTTTATTCAATGGAACCATTGGAATTGGAATTTTAGACCAGAGAATTATATTAACTTCCTACAAAGCCCCCTGGTTTAGATAATATGTAAATTAGATTGTCTATGATAACTCCAAAAGAAGAATCATCAAAGTTTGTTCTCCCTTGAAAACAAAGATCCAAAATGGTTACCCAGAAGAACTTTCCTATTTCAAACAATAGTATTCCTTATCAGTTAAAAAACCACTTTTGAATGTCAACCTCTATGCCCTACCATCACCAAACCACTAGCTGAAAATATACTATGGTTATAGAGAAACTGTGTTATACCCAATCCGTCTGTTTAATTATTCCAATTAAGATTTTTTTCCCATCATCTGCTGGCACTTTTAACCAGGGAGATCAGAAATTAACATTTCCTTTTGTATAGTGCATCCTTCAGACCAGGGGTGAAATCTACTTACCTTCTCAACCGGTTTGGAAGTGCACATGCCGCAAGTCACATGCACGCTTAAACTCTCTGCGCATGCGCAAACCCTTCTACGCATGTACAGAGGGTAAAAAACAGGTTACTTCCTGATTAAAACCAGGAAGTAACGATCGGGTGGGTGGGCAGAATCTCACACCGCCATCACTATCAGTTCTCCGAACCACCAGCCACCATTGCTACTGGTTCAGCCGAACCGGTCCAAACCGGGAGCATTTCACCCCTGCTTCAGAGAGCCCCAATCAGTTTCCACCATCTATAATCTTTCAACTGTTCTGGTTTAGAAGGCTTTTGTGAGAATGTAGCATATCCATGCAATTAAATGGCATCCGCTAGTGTCCAGAGTAAATATGTGCACTGTCATATACCATTACACAGTCTGGTATGTATGAAATATGTTTATCACTGATGTACATAAACTTTTAAAAAGTTAAGGCTTCTAGTCTTGCTCTGCCACTGTAAATAGAAAAGCTTTGAAAAATTAAAGTGCCTTTTCATAAAAATCACTCTTCCATTGTAATCATTTTACCTATTTATTGTAAAAATATTAAGAAAGAAAAGTGGAGGTTGTGAAGTATATAAGAAACCATTGTATTATCTAATGTATGTTACGGTATTTTTATTTCATTCAATGCAATACTTCTAGTACTGAGTGTTTTGTTATTGCTTTAGTTATTTGTTGTATCTTGATTCTAGCAAGAAAAAATTGGACTTACTTCACAAAGAAAGATGCCCATGAATATACGAGAAGCACACTTTGTTATATTAAAAAATCAGTCTTTGATTCACTCATTTGGGTTCAATCCAATGCAACAAAAAGTGATTTTCATTTATCTGCTTCTGTAGTTCAACTTTTTAAATTCATTTCTGAGATTATTATAATTATATGGATAAGGTTATTAAAAAGCTGAAGCTGAAATCAACCAGAGCTTTTCTTCACTAATCCTATCACTTGTATAATTAATTACAAGTGATTAATAATTACACCAATTAAAAGCTCACCCAAATCAAAATTTGTCAAATCCTAAAATCATGGGACAATTAACTTACAGATCCATTTTTAATTCAATAAACTCAAACATGATTTGTTTATTTGCAATAATAAACTTTTCTTAAACATGCAAATTGAGCAATACTATCCAATCATTTAAGAAGTCATAAATGAAATTGTAAGATAAGATTGACAAATAATGTTTAAACTCATATACAAGTTCCACAAATTTCTGTCTCGGGCCATCTTCATTATTACTTCATTCTTTTCCCTTAAATCCAAGACCCCACAAAACAGCCTTGCAATCTATATGTAAGGGACACCAAAAAAAAAAAAAATCAGAATGATTTAACTTTCATAGCTATCCATTCCTAGTTCCATTCCTATTCCCACCCTTAAACTTCTGGAAAAAGGACCAGAAAATTTCAGTCCCAATCCTTACAGTAATATCAAATGGTATCCTTCAGCCTCTTGAAAATTCAAGAGCCACAGCTGTGCATTGCCAACCTTTTCTATATAGAACTGGCTACTCTAATGTTGCTAAAACTATAGAAATTGGGGAAATTTTCTCACATGATCTGAAGAAAACAAACCAATACCAAACCTGCCTGCTGCCAGAATAAAGAGATAGATGAAAATCAACTTGCTATTTAAAAGAGGCAGTTGTCCAATTGTTTGATTTAATTGTAAATATGACTTTTTTATTCACTTCAATCAGTGGAATTCTTTCAAAATGGCTTCTTTTTCTGCAATAATAATTTATTAGATGTTCCTAAATTCTTGTGTGTCTATTTAAATAGCTTCAGCTTAGTCTTGGCAATGAAAAGCTTAACAGTGAGCTTCAAAAGCATTTCACAATGGATTTTCTGGCTTTGCAAAATCCAAAACATTATTGCAACTGTTTTTTCTGTTCATCAACAACACAAAGGAGAAGTTGAAAGATGTGGTGAGTTTTCTGATAGAGAAATAAGCTATCAGCCAGCAAATTGTATTATCTTCACAATTTCATATATCAAAGTGCATAAGTATTAATGGGCAGTGGTATCCTTGGGGGAGGGGTGTCAAAATATGAGTATGCATAAGTATAGAAGAAATTGGGCTTGAACCATCACACCATAGTCTCCATCTTACTGATTTTGACATTTCACCATGGATGACCATGCTGCTACCACCATGGTGAAGTGGTTAAGATCATGCAGTGAGAGCAGAATGTCCCAGGTTTTTGCCTTTCCTTAGGCACAGAAGCCAGCTGGATGACTTTGGACCAGTCATCCTTCCTTGGCCCTAGACTGGGCAGTTGAAAAATGTCTATCTCTCACCCACTTTGGACCAGAAACTCTGAAGAAGCAGTAATTAAGTATACTATATGGGCTGGCAGCATAAACCTAGGTTACAATACATAAAGGAGGGCACAGTCTAGTAATAGTCTTCTGAGTATTTATAGTGTCCTTAACATTTATTGGCTAAACTTGGCAAACACTAAATGTACATCAAAGGCAGACTTGATCTCTTTCCAACTACCTTTAAGTAGCACCAAGCCAAGAAAGAAAAATAGGCAATCTAATTTTACAGCACCATCTGAAGGTGGTTATTGTCAAAAATGGCTATGGTTAAGTAATTATTGATAAGAAAATATTACATGTGCCTTTTAATTTTAATTTATAGTCTTATTTAGCTTTTTATGTGACTGCTCCTTAGAACTTGGCAAGTGGAACTGCTTTTTTTTTAATCTTCTAATTTTGAACGAAGGGAAATGGTGCTAAAAGCTTTACTACGCTAATAATTGGAAACACTTTTAGCATCTTAAAAATGGGATTCTGAATGCACAGATAAATCTAGTGACATACTGCAGTGCTGTCCTTCTGTGAGTGGGAAAATTCTTTCTAATTTGCTGTAGATTGTATAAGAGTCACTAAATGCAGATTATCTTTTCAAAGAGAAAAAAGAGATTAATCAGTCAGTCTGAAATGATGAATTCAATGAGCCAATCGGATATATTTTTAAAATTTGTCTACAAAGATTGTGAAGGTAAGAAGAAATTGCCTTGTTATTGCATGCTTAAGCCTAAATTATCAAAGGAAAGCAATGCACAGAAATAGTTCTTAGTTATTAAATAATTTGATAGTCTATGTAATCATAGATATTTTACATTATATATAATATCTATTTATACTACAACTAGCACACATGTGCGAGGGGAACCTTTACCTTTACCTTTATTATAATATTAATTTTCACATATTTACAGATTCCTAAGAATCTGTGTGATTTACAAAATCAAAATAGATTTTCAATTCTCAGAAGACAGTTAAAAATATATGATAAATATATTTTCCTATCTTTATTATGCTTAGCAATTAACAAAATAAAAGTATACTTATATAGAACAATATTAAAAATGTATCTTTTTGAGTAATGTAAAAAACAGGGTAAGGTTTGGATTTATTGTGCTAGACTTCCTTAACTTATGGTGGTGTAATGCCAATTTCTACATGTTTTTATAATGAACAAATAATATAAAAGTAAGGAAAAGATAGTGAAATGCTTAGCTAATATCAGTTGTACAGATCAGTAAAAATGGGACCCGTTCATTTCTTCGATATCTTCTTTTCATTTTTCTTCCCTTTTCTGCAAAATAATTGTCAAGCTTCGTTGTTATCTCCAAATAAATAAATTTCCAAATACATGATCTTTGAGGAAATATTTCTCTTTATTGGGCATAATAAAGCTGCCAATAATATTAACTGGATCTTATCAGTTTTGTCAGGAAAAAAATAGAAGAAAATTATTACTGATTAAAAAAAATAATCTAAATAACCAGTGGAAAATTTTATCTGAATTTTATTGTCAGATTGGATATGTAGCTTCAACAAATTCTATAAGTGCATTGTATTGTCTTTTCCTGTATTATTCTTGCTGTCAAATTTCAGTTTTCATTTATATTTCAGCGAAACATTTTCTGGAAGTACCAGTAACTGAAGAAGTGAATTTATGATAAAACATAGCTAGGCCCTGAAAAATCTTGTATTGACTCACAGTAATTCAATATAATTAATATAATCAGATATCTTTATTTCGCACAACTTACATTTTAAAATCACACGCTAGCACATTCTCTAAATATGCTATGCATTTTATATCTATTGTATATTTCAAATTCTTTGCAGGAAAATTGCATCTATCACATATTCATTTCCTCTTTAAAAAAATCATCTTTCTTTCTTCCTTGGAGGGGACAATGAGCTAAGAAAAGCAGATAAGTCTAGAAATCTGAGTTCCTTGAGTCAGCTCTTATTTTGGTGAGAAAAAAAAGAGTGTCACTTTCCTTTTCTGAAATCTTTATGATAAAGACACTAAATATAGTTGGGAAAGAAGAATATGTCTGATGGACAGAAAAAGTATCATGGAAATTTCTGGTTAAGAAAAAGAAGTCAGCTTGAAGTTGTGATTAAATGAAATTTGAGAACAGATTATTCAAGTTTGGAAGCATTTGGAGAAGAATACATTGCTTGGCAGGAGCTAAATCAGGTTTATCAGGAAGTCAAACCAAACCAACTCATCTCTTTAACTGAATGGTCACAGGTACAGGTAGTTCTCGACTTATGACCACAATTGAGCCCAACATTTTTGTTGCTAAGTGAAACATTTGTTAAGTGAATTTAGCCCCATTTTACAAACTTTCTTGTCACGGTTGCTAAGTGAATCACTTAGTGAATCATAGTAGTTAAGTTAGTAACTGTTGTGGCCCGCCGGCAGTCAGAAGAGGTGGCAGCAGAGTCTGACAGTGAGGAGGTTGGGGAGGAACTTGGGCCAGTCTTGGGGGCTGGGGAAAGCTCAGACGAGGGCTCTGTGTCAGAAGCAGAGAGGGAGTTAGACAGCAGCAAGGCAGAGGAACAGCTGGAGCCTGTTCCCAGTGTGTGCATGTGCAGAGCTGTCAGAAGACAAGAACAATTAAGAAAGCAGGGTAGACTTGGGAGGAAGGCCACACCTTGGAGATGATTGGCCCCTCGTATAGGACATAAGAGGAGCAAACAGGATGTGGGCTTTTGCAGGAATCAATTAGTTCATCTCGTTTCAAGATTGGAAAGTTCTGTTTTTGATTCTAATAGACTCGGTGCCAAGTTTGGCCTTGCTCTGCATTTGGAAATTGGTTCTCTGGCAGCGTTCCAAGTGAGATAAGGTGGGGGTTGATAAACATTCCTCTGAAAGATTTTTTGCCAAAGCCTTGTTGACTGTGAATGAACGGAATTCACAGTCGTGTTAATAAAAGAGGTTTTACTGGGATTAAGACTTTGCTTTATGCTTTCTAAGGAAACCTAGGTCAGAACAGTAACATGATTGTTAAATGAATCTGGTGTTCCCATTGACTGCTTGTCAGAAGGTCACAAAAGCTTATCACATGACCCTGGGACAAGGCAACCATTTTAATTTTGAATCAGTTGCCAATCATCCACATTTCGAACACATGACTGTGGAGATTCTACAGTGGTCAGAAGTGTGAAAAAATGGATT